TTTAATTAGATTTTATCATTATAATCAAGTCAACAGTGAGGCAACTCGAAACGGCTCCCGGCTCCCTTTGCCTTTTGCCCGGTGTCCTTGAACTCGAAACTAGAGATTTTCTCCCTCCGAAAAGGGGAAAGGCGAAAGGTGAAAGGGCGAGCCTAATTAGAATTTGCATTCGCGTTGCGTTGCAAATGCTAAACAGAATCCCCCGTTCAAAGGTCTTTTAAGCAGAGATTTAAGGGAGATATTTCTTCTTCTCCCTGGGTAATTTGATTTGATATCACAACGATGATGAGGATTCCCATCTCCCCTTCCTTTTCTCAATGGGATCTACTTTATCTCCATTGCTACGCCTTCAGAGCCAATCAATTTCTGAATGCAACAATGTGAGTTAAGCGCATTTCGTAGCCTCAGCCTCAGCTTCAAGTTGAAGTTGCACATTTGCAACAGTAAATCGCATTGATTGTGTGGCTGCCTTCTTTCCTTTTGGGCATCAGCATCAAAGTGTTAACAATGAAATCGAAGCTGAAGCTGAAGGAACGCCTTCTGCGAGAATCCTTTGCCTTGAATGAGGAAACGAGGAATAAGGACTTGGCTTTCTCCCTCTCAATGCGAAAATGTGGCAGATGCCGAAAGGAAACTCAAACGGAATCCTTTTCCAATTCCGCTGATGAAATGACATATTTTGCTCACACAAAGACGCTCGCTGCTGAACATTGTGTGTCTAGTCTAGTGATAATAATACATATTTTTAAATGAATAAATCAGAAATTAATTTGACCCAAAACAAACATTTTTACAACAATGTCTATCTAACAAAAGAGGTTTGTGGTATTTATTGTTCTTTCCAACAATTATAGTTTAATGAACTACTTGAGGTAAGATTTACATTTTTTTTATACTAATCCTTTGACTTTAAAAAAGGTTTCTTTACATTTTTATAAAAATGTCTCTTAAAAATGTGAAGCTTTTTAAGATTTAGTATTAATTAATGATATCGGTTTTTTATAATGTGAAAAAAGGGAAAATTAATTGCTCTTTCAATTTTCAGTGTAATTTTCAAAATTTCTCTTTAAAATGTTCAGATTGAGGTATTTTTAATATAATATAGATTTTTTTCTCTGTGATTTCTCTGTGCAGGCTCTCAGCATCCTGATGCGCTTCAATTACTTAAGCAGTCAATGCCACACAGCAAAGCAACATGGTAACAGCAACAGCAACATCGCAACATCGGCAGGGAACATTGAACGCTGAAGTGGCGACGACGTCGGAAAGCGACTGGTGTACTTATTTTTAAACGTATTAAGGAAGCGGCGTGCTAAGGAGTTGCCAGCAACAAAAACATTAAATGGCAACAACGAAGAGTGAAGAGTGAGGAGTTGCAGTTGCAATGGCAATTGCATTGAATTAATGATGCACGTGCAACGCAAAAAAAGGGGGGAACAAAAAGAGGGTTGCAAATGTCTGATATCGACATTCAGTTGACTGCACTGCACTGTCTGTCTGTCTGGGGTTTTCTCTTTGTTTTCATGCGGTTTTATTTGCATTTCAGGCGATTTAAACGTGCCTTAGATTTGTAACATATTTTATATCATATTATTCAAAAAGTTCTCATTACTATGCTTATGAAAAATTGAAATGAAAAATTAATTGCCTTAACTATTTTTGATATTTCTGAAGATATCGTAAATATCGAAATTATCAAAATAAAATTATAATTATGAGCCATAAATATTTAAAAAAAAAATACCTTTATCTGTATAATATTTTTGGTCGAAAGTCAACCGTTCTTAAACTTGGCAAATCTTCTAAGCTTCTTTGAAGAAGGACATTACCACACGGCCCTTTTAACTCTTTGTTGGCCATAAATTATGCAAAATTCTTCTAGTTTTTTTGCGGCTGCTTCGCGAGAAGTGTCAAAGCTTAAAATTTCCCTGAGCAGTTTAGGAAGGAGGAGATTCAAACCCCTCTTTGTCGCCACCCCTGGTGACACAATAATTTTGCAGTTCAAGTTTGGATTTCCCGCACTTCGCTTTACTTTTTGACAGCCATAAATTTTCGTCCGGCATGAGAATTCGACAGCCCAACCGAAAGAAGAAGAAAGAAGGACACCAAAATTTGCCCATTTTCGCAGTCGGACTGCAAAATGTTGGGGAATCTGTTTTAGCGGAATGAAAACTTCCCGAGGACTTGCACTTGCAGTTGCAACTTTTCGGCAAAGTCCGATCTTTTCGGGAAAACCCCCTCGCCCCCACCACCACCTGTTTGTTTTATCCCGTTATGTGTGTAGTCAAAACAAACAAAAAGTTTCCACTTGAAGTTCCCCTATTTCAAGTTCCTTCACCCTTTATTTATCCTATTTTCCCGGATTTCTCTTTCGTTTGAGGCAGCAAAGTGGTATGAAAAACAAAATGTTTTTTATTCAAGTTTTTATTTAAGTTGACATTTGAGAAGCAAAAAAAGGAGGGCTTTTCCCAAGTAGCGCATTTATGAAATCTATTTAATATTAACGACAGATTTATTTAAAATATAAATTTAAAGCCCATCATTAATTGGATTCCTCTCACTGCCTTTCCAATCAAATCGCATAAAAGAAATCGAATTTAGCTTGGCAAACGTTGAAAAGTTTACCTCCATCGCAAATCCATCAATTAACTACGTTTCCTGGAGCCCTTTATTATTCTCCCTACAGGATATGAAGAGGAAAAATCGGAAAAACAGGCTGCGCATTGTAATCAAAGGCACTGCAAACCCATCAAGACAATTTTTAATGACGCCACGAACAGACGGAACAAGATCCACGTTTGCATTTAGCCCGAAAACCCTTCCCCGCCCTCCTACTTCCCTGGAAAACATCGCCCCCCGTTGTCTGCTCCCCTGATTTTCCAAATCCCTCTGTTCCTTTAAGGGGGTGCCTGATGAATAGCACAGCCTGCATACAGAGAAAGAAAAGAAATCGAAAGAAATTTGTATACCCACAGAACAGAAATATTTTCAAAATATTTAATTCAAATAAAGTAAAATTTATATTTCTGAATATATCGAAAATATCAAAATTAAGTTGTTGAAATACTTTCAAAATATTTTATTCGCATGAGAAATTCATTGCCCTAACTAAAATTGATATTTCCGAAGACATCGAAAATATCGAAATAAAAAGTTATCAAAATATCGAAATTATCGAAATAAAATTTTAACAGATTTTTCCACGTGTACTTGTCAGGATTTTCACAACGCAACAAATGCAAATTGTTGTCATTCAGGGATATCCTCCTGAATTGAACGGGGGGTGGTAATCCTCCTTTTTCAACCAACAAGGACGCATGATTTTTGCGGTGTTTTTGTGTATATTAATGCGGCTGGCAAAGTAGCTTTTAATTAGCATGTTGTCTGCGGCTGCAATTATCCCCCCACCCCTCTTTTGCAACACGCCCCTGGATTTGTCGTAGTCCCCCACTTGTTTTTGGGGCTTCTCAATGGGTTTTCCAGGTGGCAGGAAGATAGTTTGAGGTTCGAGGCTCATCGTGAGTCAAGGGTTTTCCCCTTTTTCCCGGGAAAATGAAGGGCGGCGCTTAAAGTGGCTTAGGCTCCCGCAGAATGACTGCAAATAAGCTGCGATACACAGAGGTTGTATACGATAATACCTTCACACAGATACAGATACTTTGCCATCCTCCAAACTTTTGAGGGGATTAGGTGATTCGGTTTTGGTTTTGGGGGAAAGCAGACGAAGAGGTTCTCAATGGGGATTTGGATTTGCCCACAAAATCTCTGCGGTTTTGCTTACAAATTCCATAATGATTCAATGACGCTTGAGTAAGACGAAGGCATTAAGTGGGAAATGGCAGGCAGGAGGCATGTTACCTCTAATTACATTACATTCGAATGAAATTAAACGGAAGTCTAAGTAAACCAAAACAATGGGATTAAATTGAAATACCGCATAGATATTCAAGTAACTACAAAAGTTGACTACATTTTATACCCTTATTTATCATAAATATAATATTAGTCTCAAGGGTCCTGTTTTGTGTGTAGTACATGCTAAATCAGTCGACATAGTTTTTTCCCACTTCCATCTACATTAATGCTTCCATTCAATTATCACCAAGAACTTTTATGGCTACCGATCTCGTTGTTCTCCTATAGCATCTATAACTCTGCAGTTATTACCCCCCTACTACCATTTTTCCAGCTCTCTTCCCTTTGGTTGATTGAAGTTTGAGGTTTCACGCTAATTAGATGGCACGCAGGCGCATGACACAAAATGCTGCTGATGATGGCGGGAAAAAGAGCTGGAAAAATGGGGGGAAAAAGCAGTAAGCAAGTATGTATATATGTATGTAGTATATATACAAGGGAGCTGCAATTGCGGCTATGATTATTAGGCATAAAGTGTTGAGGTTGCTTGCTGCTTGTTTCTGTTGTTTTTGTTGACTTGGCCCAGGCCTAAGTAACACGATTTTTCTTCATTATTATTTCTTGGCACGCGATCTGACAAGTTTCAGTGCACAGAAAGAAAAAATACTAACAAAATAGTCTCTATAAAATACTACCTAAATAGTATCTAAAAAAAAATAACAAAATAGTATCTAAAACAGAATAGTATCCAAGTATAGTATCTAACCAATTACTAGAATATTAAAATATTGGTAAAACAATTTTACGATGTAGGTTTAGGAGTTATGCTTTATGCATGTTTAGAAGAATATATATTACAAATCTTCTAAAGTATTTTTCTGAATTTATAAGACATACATATTTTTTTTTTCTGTGCATCTACACAGGCATAGATGCTTTTGTTTTTGCCGGACTTTGAGACTTTGAGCTAGTCAAGCAAGCTGTCGCCATCGCCTTCGGATGTCGTGTTATGCGATTTACATCGAGTGTTGTTTTCTGGGGAGAGCTTTCCACTCGACTACCCCACCACCCAACCCACTACCCCACCTTTCGATGTATAACAATGTGTGTATATATAGATTTAGAAATTATAGTTGATGGCTTACTTGCAATTAGCGACGTATGTATGTTGCTGCCGATGTTACTGCCTGATATGCCGCCTTCGATTATACTGTCGATCTGCAAAGCAAACAAACAAATGGAGAAACAAACATTTATTGCCGGTCGAGGAGCTCAATTATCGTTAATTAATCCCCATTCATCGTAAAAAGGTCGCCATCAAGCGAAGCGATGAATCAATGTTGCACCACTTATCGATCGTATATACTACTAATACTAACCAGTAGCTGGTTTAAAGCTAATAGTTTTCTCTAAAAACTCAATGATAATCATCAGTGACTCAAACCGCAAATGGTAGGGTAAATATTACTCATAGTAATCATCATCATCGTTTGGAGAGTACATATTTGGAGATAACAGAAGCTAAATAGCGCTTTTAAACATAATAATCGGGAGATAACACCTGTGATAAGTGTAAACTTTAATGGGGCAAAGACAAACTTTAAAAATGTGACTTTCGCTTAGAACTTGAGAATATATCGACATTTCGATAGTTTTCGATATTTACTGTTCTATTAAAAACAACATGTTATCGAAACTATATAGCCAAAATATTTATAATTTTATCATCTTATAATCTTATCAGCACTCGATTATTTTCTTAGTTGATATCATACTTTGAAACAACTATTATCTATTTTATCGATTTATAATTTCTTTTTTACAAAATCTGGTAATTACCCCAAAAGGCCCATGAAGAACACCTGCGCTTTGCGATAAGACCACTTTTATAACTACCTTTAACGATGTAGCAACTTGCACTACTTATCAGGAAGCCGAGCGAGCAGCAGATATGGATTAGATTAGATATCTAAGTTAATTTCCTTATCTTCTTTTGCCTGCGACGCTTGGATTTTTCCACAAGGCTACAGGAACTAGGAACTTACGCAGATTAGATCACGTATAATAACCGAATATAACCCAAAAAATACAGCTAGTTAATTTCTAATTTTTCGGTTAGAGATTCCCACGAATTCACCCTCGATTATTTTATTTTTGGGCTAAGACAGGACAGACAAGCCCGCAATCTTATCTTTCGCCCATTTACGATTACTGGCCTTATCACGTGAAATGTGGAAAAATCGCCGAGGCAAAAAAGAAAATAAATAAATATGGGAATGGAAAAAATCAAAAATCTCAAGCGCAAAACAAAATGCGCGGCCCCAAAAAAAAATATATATATAAAAAAAGTGAAGAGGGAGGAGTGGGCAGCAGACATTACATTTTCTGCTCCAAATACGCTTTTCACAATTTTCGCACACACACACACTAGGGAGAGACTTTTCATTTTACTTTTGAAACGAGTCGTACGCGCAATGTTTGCATACGTATGTTTGTAGGTGGGTGGGTATGTATGTATGTGTAGGTTGGCCCAGTCAGTCATTCAGTCAAGTGAGCCACTGTTTTTTTTTTCGCTTATTATGTTTAAAAAAGTGAAAATTGCATTTTGCTCTTTGCTTTTTTTCATATGCTGTTTTTGTTTGCCTTTTGTGTTTCTAATGCAGCTGCAAAATTAATTCCAAAATTTTATGGCGCTGTGGGTGATAGAGGGTTAAGTTTGTGTGCTTTCACAGCTGGCAGCATTTGTCCAGGAAAATATGGAAGAAATGAGAATTTTAAAGGCCTTTCGATTTATAAATTTTAAGATTTTTTTTTGTAACTTATAGAAAACTAATTTCTAACATTCAAAACCAATCCGATTGACTTGAATTTCAAAACAAAATCGCCTTTCTAATTACTAAAACTTCAATAAAATCCATATCCACTTCCACTCCATTTCAATATCCTGCAAATTTGAAATCAGTTCCATTCCATTTAATTCGCCTATTTCCGCATCCTCATTTCATTCCATTTCAATTCCATGCAATTGAACTCATTATCATCTCTTTTAAGAGCAATACCACATCATACAGAGAGTATTTTAAAAATTCGGATACGAAAAATGAAAGTTTTGCGTTAATTTCAAATGTTTATTAACGCGATTATCCAGCATTAAATGTTCGTTTGAATTGCCCGCGTTGTTGTTGGCGGTTGATGGTTGTTGGTTTTGCGGTTGGCATTTGAAAATGTATTTTCAGTGTTGTCGATTATTTGGAAAACGGTTGAAAGCGATGACATCTAATCAATTTGCGACGTGCGTCCCCGCTTTTCCCCGTTTTCCCCCGCCTTTTCCCATGGTTCGCTGCGTTTGCTTGACGGCTGCAGTTTTAATTAAGTGTTTAATTAATGATGAGGCTCTCAAAATGGAAAATGGAAAAGGGGTGGAGGGCGGAGAAAAGGGGTGTGGGTGCCCAGGCAATTGAAACTGAACTGCAATTGCCATTAAAAGAGGCAAATGACATTGGATTGGGTAGCGAACGCAATTAAAACATGCGAGAAGTTTGTGCTTTAATTTCAAGAAAACAATGCAAAAGGGTGGTAAATTTTGTATATACACAGAAATAAAAATTCGATATGAAATAGGGTCAATTCTATCTTATTTAATTCCAATAAAAAGGCGATATGGTTTAATCATGTCATATAAAATACCAAATGTAGTAAACATATTCGTTATGCATATCAACAAGATATGAAATTGACCAGCACATATCGATTAGATATTTAGTCAATTTTTGTTCTGTGTATAAAGTACATGTTTTCTTTTGAAAAGACTTTTGCAACCTATTATATTAATGTGTAATATTAAGTTTCATATTAATTGGGCAACCATTTGGCACAGTATTACATTTTTACTGCACTACATATAGGAAATATATCATTTCATATAGCTGTTTTATAAATGTACGTATATAAATACACTCTGGTCTGCTAATTGGACATGTGTATATAATAAAACAAATCTTGGGCATAGAAATCATCATCAGTATTAGCCCCTATATTACGATTATGCTTTCCCTTTCCCGAAACTCAATAAACGGAGCCGGCAGTGAATCAGTTCACTTATGCAATTACACTTACACACGCACCCCTACGAATTTTCCCCGAGGGAAGGGTCTAGGGTCTAAAAACACAGTTTTTCGGCAGGGAAATCGACGAAAAAAAAAAGAATGAAACGCAATCGCAGGCTGTTTATCTTTAGTCCTTCCGTTATGAGGGTCGCTCGGGGAAAAACGGTGGGGGAAAGTGAGGAGGAAAATGGTCCTGACCTTGCCACGGGGTCCCCGCTGACCACCCCACCCACCCAAACATTTTCAGGCATTTTTCATTTGCATTTTCAATAATAATTCGTTGGCCATGACTTTGCAAGGGTTTTTTTTTTTGTTTTCTTTGTTAGTCCCTCTCGTCCCTCCGCTCATTGCCAAACATTTATTTATTATATAGCCTTCGTAATCGTTTACGGCAGACGCAACAAGAGCAAAGAAATTATTCAATAGTGCAAAAATTTGGGCGGTAGTCGGTGGGCGGTGGGCGTGTCCATGCAAATGGAAATGGGAATTGTTATAAATTGTCTTGGAAAAGGTTTGAGGAGGTTATTTGCTGTCGCATTTCCATTTTTCGGGTTTCTTTGCTTGGCAAAAAAGAAGAAAGACAAGTATCTTAGAGATATTGTATCGTGTAAGCGATTTGCTCGAAGGACCAAGGAAAGAAAAGACAAGACGCTACCCAAACTCATGATGTAAATGTTATGGCAAAGACGACTTAAACTTGCCTTTGGCTATTTGTAATACAGTCTTCGCCTTAGATGGGCTATAGTTTTTACCCCTCCCCATCCCGATGATTGGGGTCAAATTAGAACGGTTCCAGAGTGGGCAGCCTGGCAGCCAGTCAATCAGCTTCAGCTACAGCTTCAGGTTTTCAGTGCAAGTTTAGGGAGCCCACATCGAGAACCAGTTCGAAAAACGGAAACCCAACCTGATGGATGCCAATATATATACTCCCAAGTCCGGGAAACCAGTTTTTCCGGGGGCGTGGCGGCGCCCGCCGCAAACAAATGACCAATGCGCCAACCAAGCGATTTCCAAGGCGATTTATCATGGCCAGAACTCCAAATACAGAATCCACATTCCTCCTCCTCCTTTCCCAATTTTTGTATCGCAAATCGCAGGGAAATCTGCCAAAAGTCTCAATCTGTTAAATCCCGAGTCCCATCTGATTTCAGTCCGACGACAATCGTTGACAAAAGTGTCCAAATGCAAATTATTCATAAGCAGAGCAAATAAACAGCTTGGTTTTGCACGACAAAAAATCCGAAAATTAATGTTAAGGCGTGCCTACACTGGGAAAATCTACGTTTGATAAGATTAAACATTTTTTGAGAATCTTTAAAATTTATTTAAAATGCGTTATTTATATTTTTAGAAATAAAAAAGACAACATTTGTTCTATTCCTCTTTGATTTGCTAGTTTTTAGCCTGTCGGCATTTTGATATTTTTCAAACATTTGTGTTTTTCGGAAAAATCGATATATTTTTTTTACGAATTATTGTAAACATAATTATAATAATTTGTGGATTTTAATCCCTCTAACATATCATCGAAAAGACGATGAGCCATATTTGTTTTCTCTGCAGCAGAATTGCGTTCCAATGTCCCCTGTTGACCATAGCTAAACCAAAAGCCAAAAACCGAAAACCAAAACCAAGAGACCCAACCGCAGCAGACAGACCAATCTGAGTGGGAGTCTGAATCAGATTCAGAATCAGAATCTGAATCCGAATCCAAGTCCCAATCCCTCCACTTGACGCCTGCGGTTTAACCCCTTTTCCCCGCTGATATAAGCTGCTTAACTGTTTGTGCTGCACAAATATGTTAAGCGGCGGCGGATTGAGAGGGGGCGTGGCTATATATGAAGGGGGAAAAATCCCAGGTGAAAACGTCAGAAGTGGCAAATATGGGGGAGTGCAAAAAAAAAGGGGACTACTTTGAAAGGAGTTTTTTTGGTTAGACAGTTTACAAATAATGGGATTCCGAATACAAGTATTAGTTTACCAAGGATATGCGGGAGTACAAATATTTTTTCATAGCTACACATAGATTCAATTTAAAAAATTTCTATGGATGAATTGCAATTAAAATTTTATATTTCTTTCAATTGATTTTTTTTGTTTTCCAACTAAATC